TCCACAGTTTTGAGGTTTGTCTATAAAGTCTATAAAGATTGTATGTCTTTTTAAAAACTTTTTCTACTGGAAGAAAATCATTTTTTTACTCTGTGAATCTTCCGGTGTCTGCTGAGACCTGACTGGTAACTGAAAAATTTCCCACATTCAGAACAACAATAGTGTTTTGGTCCTTTATGAATCCTTCGGGCTACTGATTTTCTTCTGGGAACCTCTTGCAGTGCACTCTGATCGATGATAAGCCCTAGCGGTGCACTCTGTCCTATGGGAATCCCAAGAGGTGCACTCTGTCCTACGGGAATCCCTTGCAGAGTACTTTGTCCAAAATATATCCCTAGCGGTGGACTCTGTCCAATGAGAATCTCTAGTGGTGCACTCTGTTCTATGGGAATTTCAGGGGGAGCCCTCTGTGCTTCTGGAATGACTTTAAGTGCACTTTGCCTTTTGGTTATTTGTTGGGATGCTTTCTGTTTTTTAGGAATCCCTTGGGCAGCTTTCTGTCCTTTGGGAACCCCTTGGGGAGCTCTATGTCTTTTGGCATTCCTTACGGGAACTTTCTGTCCTTTAGGAATCTTTTGGAGAGCTCTCTGTCCTTTGGCAAACCCTTGGGATGCTTTCTTTTTTTTTGGTCTCCCTCGGGATGCATTCTGTGCTTTGGGAGTGCTATGAGGAAGATTCTTTCCATTGAAAATTTCATAAGGAGCATTATGTACTTTAGCAATCCCTTGCAGTCTACTGTGATCTTTGGGAATTCCGTGGGATGCAATCTGGCCTTTGAGAATCTTGTGTGATAAACCTTTGGGAATTTCTTGTGATACAATCTGGCCTTTGGGAATTCTACGCGGAGAAATCTGGCCTTTGTGAATACCACGCGGTGCAATTTGATTTTCGTGCATCCCCTGATGTATAACGAGATATGCACTATTTGCAAAAGATTTCTCACATTCAGAACAAGAGAATGGTTGCTTTCCTGTATGCGTTCTCTGATGTTCAAGACATTGTGTCCTCCAATAAAAACGTTTCCAACATGTAGAACAGGAGAATGGTTTACCTCCCGTGTGAAGTGTTTTATGTCCAGGATTTGTATTATTTTCAAAACATTTACCACATTCAGAACAAGAGGTTTCGGACGTTAGTATATTCTTGTATAAATTACTGTCAGATCTCCATTGGGCAGCGCTGTATATATTATCATAAGACGAGTGAGCAGATGGATAGTCTGTCTGTGTAAGTTCCATGGAAGAATAAAAGTCATCGTCTGAGAGATCTCCATCATGGGAGACAGATTCCTCCTTAATGGAAAGAAATGAAAAGTCTGTCTGTGTACACTCTGTAGATGTTGGGGCGTTAGTGTCTTCATGCAAAGTTGGTTCCTGTTTAATAGAAGTAGTTTTAGAATCTCTGTCTGGTTTTGTGTAAGTTATGTCAAGGTCTAAAAAGCGATCTTCTGCTAAAATCGATTCTTTTTCAAGTTTAACAGATTTGCATGGTATGTCCAATGGAACATCTTTTGATAGAGATTTCCTTTTGTTCATATCAGGTTTCTTTCGATTTACAGAAATAGGATTATTATATCCACTAGGTATACATCTGTCTGTGGATTTACCTGTAGAAAATAGAAATACTGTTTAGGACTTTAATTTATCATGACAGTTTGTGACTACACAGGATTTGGTGAAATCTGCCACCTCGAAACATTGAGAAGGAGCTTGCAAGAATGCATCAAACCATTTAATTTTACAATATGAAATTACAAAGTCAAAATGTAAGTATTTAAATCCTATTTGTCATTACTGTGTTTTTGCATTTTCTGCACAAATTTAAAAAAGAGGATAGGCCTTCTACATTAGTTAGAATGTAAATTAATATAGATAACAATATATTGATGGTACACCATGCCTAAAATGTATCCCTCACATCACCAATATAGAGTTGCATCTTCCTTACACAACCATTTCATTTCCTTGCATGTATGCTAGTGCCAAGAGAATGAATTTAAGGTCCTCACCAGATGGTACCATCACATCACCATATTACAGTGATGGCGAACCGGTGGCTTGCCGGGCCCTCTCTGTAGGCACGCGGCCATAGGGGTGGGTGGGTGGGGGTGCGCTGGCTGTCTGCATCATATCAGAGTAGGCACCTACTCTGCTTCCATGTCCGGAGGCATTGAGGAAGCAGCTCTCCTGTCTTCCCGAGAGCAATCTGTGTGGAGCGTTGCCACGCTTTACCATGGCAACGCTCCACACAGCATCGTGCGGAAGGACATGAGAACTGCTCCTTACAGTACTTACAACCGCCGGACCACCAGGGATGGCTATGTCACCCCCCTCCTTCACCAAAGGTGAGGAGGAGGGAGGGGGGGGATACAGATTTAATATACCACCCCCCCACACACACATACAGCACCCCTCGGACACAGAACTCCACACACAAACACATACACCGCACCCCTCAAAGCAGTGTGTGTGTGTATGTATTCAGCAGTAAGTGTGTGTGTGTGTATTCAGCAGTGAGTGTGTGTGTGTGTGTATTCAGCAGTGCGTGTGTGTGTATTCAGCAGTGAGTGTGTGTGTGTGTGTATTCAGCAGTGCGTGTGTGTGTGTGTGTGTATTCAGCAGTGCGTGTGTGTGTGTGTGTGTATTCAGCAGTGCGTGTGTGTGTATGTATTGCATTTGTTGGAGATACTAATAAATATAAGCTTAATTTTATCAATTTATATCATTATTTAAAATTTGTATAATTGAAATCTATGTTGTGTTCTTTTTAAACAAAAGAAGTTAATTAGTTTGGACAACTGTACAAGTTGTTTTTTCTAAACTTAAACCTCTGTTTTCAGGTTTAATTGCAGTGTTGGCACTTTGAGGAGAAAAAAAAAAAAGTTGGCATGTATTGCAGTTTGGGACATTACATCATACATACCACCTGATTTCTGGTGTGTCTGTAGACAGGAGGGTTTGTGCCTAATCAGACAAATATGGTTTTCTACAAACTGGAATATTTATCTAGAATCTAACAAAAGGTCACCAATATAGGGACTGCATCTTAAATGGAAGACACTGCAAACTATCAACACCCTTACTATCTTAACACTGAAACCCTATCTAAACCCTGATTTTCAGAGTTTATGGAGAACTATTGGTATTCAACTCGAACTGTTACAGTATTCCTATATAAAATGGAGCATATTTTATTAATACAGCTCTCCTATGCACAACCTGTAATTTCATTGGGATCGTGCCTCTATGGCTGGAGACGTTCCATGCACCCACCCATATAGACCAAATAAAACATTAGAAATATATTATTTACATAATGAAGATGAACAATTTTTCCACATCAGCGGAGTGAGATATGGTTTAACAAACAGTCACCTTAGATTAGCTATTACAGTTAAGTTTGGAAATATTTGGACATCGACACAACTTTCATAATTTTGTCTCTGTCTGCCACCACGATGAAACAATTTAGATGCAATTGAAGTGTAGGGGTTTGATGGAGAATAAACTGTCTTACCTATGCAATGCTTAGTGAATTTTCCCCTAGACATACACAGCTGTATATAATATATATTTATATTATGTTACAGGGTGCCAGTCTCATGTCCTGCTTTCTACTTCTGCATTTCTTATTACATAGCTAAAAGTATATACTATATACATGGCTTGAAAGACTGAATGGTCAGTAGGCCGGATTACAATACAAGATACTCATGCTTTGAAAGGGTTAAACTCGCATTCTTTAAACGTACCTTATGTTTGTGTTTGAGGGCCTGACACTAGTTTCCATTATCTTTTATAAACACCCTGCCGTTGGGAAAAAATAACATTCTCTCTAAGCACCTGAAAATTTAAATTGGGTTCCTAAATCAAAGACTGTCATGGACATCAGAAGATGTGAATTTAATAACACGTTATCCTGTATCCTGTTATCTTCCTCGATGGTTTGTTAGTGGGGAGGGGGGGACAGACTAGAGGTGAAGCTATTAAAGTCCCACCGGTGTAATTAGTACATCTGGATATACCGTGCCTAACTCTCACCCGCAGTACCAGAGAAAAGGAGACTTGTCATAGATACAGGTATATAAAGGGTTAAAAAATGCCTTTGCCTTAGTCTCTCCGCGTCTGCAGGGGTTAAAAGCAAGAATTTCCTCTCCCCTGTTTGCAATCTGTGGCAGTTTCACACATACTCCCTCTTCTCTCTCACAGGTCAAGCTAACCATAGTTTAGAGAAGACGTGCTAGACATGCGCAGTAGACGAATACATAATGTTATATGAATAATGATACTTTTTGCACTGAAGTTCTAGGATTGGTTGATTTTGCCTTCTGTTCAATAAAATTTGAATTGTACTCTTAATAGTTGATAACATGAGAATTATGCTGACTGTTATTTACATCAATTATTTAGGTTAACGAGAAAAATATAATTTGCATAATAATTTGGAACAGGGTGTATACACATACATATATATATTCTAAGCACTTTAACATGCACACACATACACCATTATTAAAAGACATTTAGAATGACTATATTATATATAAATAAATTTTTAAAAATGAAAAAAAAAAAACTTCTAAAATTAAATTTTAAAAAAAACCTATAAAGGAGGCGGAGTCTAACCACTGAAGCGGGCGCTCCAGGACGAAACGACGAAAACAAACTTAAAGGTGGGATACACCACCCCAAACACACATTAGGGGGAACCCCAACCTCACCCGAACCACATGGGCCGTAAAACTAAAAAACAGAAGCCAACAAACCCCGGCCGGGCGTGAACATTGGGGACCTATGGAAGCAGGCCCTGAGCGCCCCAGGCCCCAAAATGGTGTCCCTCCACAGCGGCTCTTCAGATTTTGATGACGGGACGTCGGACGATGCAGAGGGGGAGTACTTAC